GCAAAATTTATCAGTAATGATCTTAACAAATTCATTATCGTTTTAGTACTAAAATAACAACACTAATGTCATTACGATTCAAAATGCTTGTAAAGACTTATTTGACCAATGCACATGCCTAAAATTGTTGTAAAGAGACTCAATGAGTTTGAAAACTGAGTTTATAGTCCTAAAACAGTGAAAGCTAAAAATAAAAAAAATAATATAATATAAAATAAAAAAACTATCTTGATTCATCTATTGTAGTTGTTCTAATATAGTTTACTATAGTAAAATCACAAACTGTGCATGATATCAGCTTTTCCATCTTATCAAATTAACATATCATTATTAAAAATATTATTAATAGCAAGTAGAGCTATCATATGATGTGAAATAGCAAATTATGTAGTAATGATCGTATGATTCATACGTCACTTCAGCACTATGCTAACAACATTTATGTCATTAAGGTTCAAAGCATTCTCAAAAATTTTACTGATCAATGCGTTCATAAAATATTGTAAAGAGTGATGAGTTCACTCACCTAGAGTAATGAAAAATAGACAAATGATCATGTTTCATTCATTGGTGATTGTTTTTATTTTGTTTACTACGATGAATCCACTTAATGTACATAATGTCAATTTTTTCATCATATCAAATTTACATATAAATGTTAAAAATATTATTTATATCAAATAATGTTGTCTTGAGATGTGAAAAGTACAAAATGTATAGATAATGATCATAACGAATCCATTGTCATTATACTCAAAACACTTCTAAATACTTACTTGATACCTAGAAACATTATAAAGAAGCTCAATAAGTTCAAAAAGTGAATTTTTAATCCTAAAATGGCAAATTATAGGCAAAAGATCTTGAGTCATTCATTGTTAATTGCTTTCATGTTATTTATTGTAATGAAATCACTTAATGTATATAATGTCAATTTTTTTCATCGTACCAAATTAACTTATTATCATTAAAAATATTATTTATATCAAATAATATTATCTTGAGATGTACGATAATATTCATCGTGAATAGCAATTAACTATTATTAACGATAGTTACTATCATATTCGACAATGAACATAATATCATCAGATATTCAATAGATTTCCTAGAAAAAAACCTTCAAAATGTACTATCATTCAATGTGCTCCACCCAACAAGAATATTTGGAAAAAGTCACCATTGAATTCAAAATTTAACTCATTCAAGGCCCTACATTCTTTATCAAACCATTTTGAAATTAGATTTGATTGCATTCAAATTATACCTTTGGAGAAGAAGTTTTAAATTAATTATTTGTGCAACCCTTTCTCTATAAAATGTTGCCTTCAAAAAACATATACCATTATAGTATTGACAAAACCCTGTAATATAGGGATGTCAATCCGACTTGTGGGCACAGACAGCTCGACCTGAAAAAATTCGAGTCGACTTAGGTCGACCTCATTTTTGGGCGACGGCTCTAGCCGCCCTGTGTGGCTTGCTGAGATACACGAGCCAACCTGCATGGCAAGTTAAAATTGCCTATTGTATGCTTTGAGCTACTTGCCTGAAACAGGCAGCTAGCAGCTGTAAGCACAACAAAATAAAAAATGAAAATTGAGAGTGCTCAACTCTACAAGGTCTGAGCCTAAAGCCCAAGCCAAGCCTCGATTTTTCGGCCAAACTTTGGCTCAAACCAAAATAGCTCGAGCCGTTTTTTGCCCGGGCCACAAACTTTGGCTTAGCTCGTTTACATCTCTATTATAATGTGGTGAGCTGACAAAATTTATTAATTTTTTGATTAATTCCTCTATATAATGGCTTTTATATTACGGTTGTATATTAGGAAATAAAGTGTTATAAGATTTGTGCACTAACTTTTGATTACTATATAATTTGAATTCACATATATTTCTATCCTTTTTGCAAAAGGATAAAATCGATATTATACATACATATTTGTGCAAAAATTATCAAAAGTCGATATATTTGAAAAGGGTAATTATATTTACGCCATAATTTATTCATTTATTTATTCTTTTTTTGCACTACCTTTTAGTTGCACTTAAGATTTTTAATCTTTGTTCATTATAATAGTTATGTCTCTAACGATTTTTCATATCATTATTATTCTCAAATTTTTCGTTATTTAACACATTTTGTATTTGATAACAGTATTACGTCCAAAAGTCCTTTGAATGGCGTAAAATAACTTATATTTTCATCATATTTTTGAAAAATAAAAAAATAAATATTTGAAAAATTATATTTCCCTCATTTCAAAGCATGAAAATAAAAACGAGACGTACTGATTTAATGGAAGATTGAAAATAAAATTTTGACAAATAAAGTTAAAGAAATAATTATTACAATGAATAAAGATTGAGGAGCTTAACTACAATTAAAATATAGTGTAAGAAATAAAAATTATGTTGGCAATTAGGCTTGGGCACGATTTGATTTGGGTCGATTTCAACTTTAATTCGAAACCAAAACCTAATTAATCGGTTTGAGTAAATTTAGACCCAAACTAACCAACTCTAACTCTTAACCAAAATCGAATCAATTCGTTAGTCAGTTTGGACTTTAAGTCCAAATTGAATTATTTAAAAAGTCGTTCGAGTTTCGGGCCAACTTATACTACAAGAATTTAAATAACTAAATAACTTTATATTATAAGAACTATTGCCAAATAAATAAAATCAAGTTAATAGACACAAATCAACAGAAAATTTAAGAACTTTGTTGTTTTCCTACATTATGTAGCCAAATTGTTTGAATGGGAAAAAAAGTTAAATATAACACAACGAGTTTATGAAAGGAAATTCACAGTGCTATTACTTATTAGTAACATCATAGATTGAAAGGAATCGAAATATATTTATGAGATAGGACTTATATCTTTTGATTTTTATTTTTCTTAAAAAACGAAAAGGTTATACATGTAAGTAGATTGGATCGATTTGATTAACCAGCGATTTGAGGCTTCAAATTATAGTTGAACCAACCCACCATAGTTTTGTCCTAAAAAAACTAAACCAAACCAATGATGTGTGTCAACCCAACCCATACCGACTCGAGTCGATTCGATTTGATTGGTTTGGTTGATTTTTTTATTTATTTATTATTATTATTATTTTTTGGTCCAGTCCTAGTGCCAATATAACCACCCACTTGAAAAACATGTTTTTGGCTTAATTTGAAAACTCCCATATTCTTCATTCTCGAAAGATTTTGAATTTAATTTTCAAAAAGGGTTAATTTACAAACGGTCACTGAATTTACCTAAAAATCTCAAAACGGTCACTGAAATTTAAAACTTGTAGATACGGTCACTGAACTTATGGGGCGCTTTCACTAACGGTCATTGAAGGACCTTTATGATTTTAATTCAAACTTAAAGGACCAAAACACTTGAAAATAAAACCTTGAGGACCAAATCGCTCTAACCAAAAATTGCCAAATTCCTCCTACTTACACACTATTTGTCAGCGCTGGAAATTGACGAATTCGACCACCATACTATCGGAATTACTACCGAATTTTTACACCACCAACACCTCCTCATCCCCTGCACAATTGTATACCGACAATTAACCAAAACACGTCAAAAATCAAATGAAATTCAAGTTCAAAAAACCAACCCACAGATGGTTTTACCTCTGAATTCCGACCAACCCATCATCACCCATGCCAAAACTCCATCACATGCTGTTAGTACTCCCCAATATGAACAGGTACATGGTCCACACCATCACAAAGCAATTTAAATCAAGATGCAACTCACACCAGTTCTCTGATAGCGAAGAACACACTTTCCGTCCTAATTTTCGATGCTAGCGTCCACAATTACGGTTGCGCACCACCACCATTACCTTCTACTCATCATGACGAACAAGATGCACATATGGGTCCTCACCAGTTTATCTCAAATTGGCCGAAATTAGAGGTAATACCGTGTGTGGGGGTGGTTTTTTTTAACTTAAATTTCATTTGATTTTTGATGTGCTTTGGTTAATTGTTGTATAGGATTGTGGAGGGGGAAGAGGAGGTGGTGGTACAAAATTCCGATAGTAATTCCGACGGCATGGTGGTCGAATTTGACAATTTTCGACGCCAACGAATATGGTGTAAGTGAAAGGGAAAATGCTTGATTTCTAAATTTAAGGGGTAGATTTTGACCAAATGAAATTAGATGGAATTTACACTTCCTCAAGGATCCAATTCACGTGTTTTAGTCCTTCAGTGACCGTTAGTAAAAGCACTCCATAAGTTTAGTGATCGTTTCTGCAAATTTTAAATTTCAGTGACCGTTTTGAAATTTTTAGATAAGTTCAGTGAACGTTTGTGAAATTAACTCGATACTTTTATCTTCTTTTTATTGAAGCTCGACGAACCTATAAAAGTAAAATTAAAAAAAAAAAAAGAATTTAAACTTGTTCATAATTTCTTTAGGGTTATTAGCACAAAATGTCCCTACCTTTTATGATTTTTGTGGAAAATGTCCCTACCTCTCGTTTTTTGGTGCATTTCATCCCTATCTTTACATTTTCTTGTAGAAAACATTATTTTTATCATTTTTCTCAATAAAAGTTATAAAATAACTAATATATCCTTCTTTTTAAATAAAAAAGAAAATAAAGAACTAATTGCAATCATAATTTCAATTTTTAAAAAAGTTCAAAAGAGGAGGTGGAGGTGGAAAATTTATTTATTTTTTTATTTGAAACTACGATTGCATTTAGTTCTTTATTTTTTTATTTAAATAAAAGGGTATATTAGTCATTTAATAGCTTTTTATTGAGAAAAAATGATGAAAATGATATTCTGTACAAGAAAAGGTAAAGATGGGGATAAAATATGCCAAAAAACGAAAGATAAAGACGTTTTCCACAAAAATTATGAAAGTTGGGGCGATTTGTTCTAATTACCCATTTCTTTGAAAGCATCTTCGAAGAACATTTGAAAACTATAAAAGGGACTTTCCATAAATAACTTTTAAAAAGTGATTAATTTTCATTTCCTTGCAGACTATCGTCCTTTTCAAGAAATTTCAAATTTCTACTATTCTTCCAAATTGCCATTTCGTCAATTTCAATGAAGAAAATCTCTGAATAAATAGGGAAAAGAAATCCAAATCCCAGATAATTGTCCAAATCGGAGGTCCTGCCGGCACCCCATTTTCTCTTCACTTTCTCTCTCTAGGTTTTCAATTCAACTTTCAGCTCTTGCTCTCGATCCACTTGAAATTCATGACCATCAAAGTCTACATTGTAAGCCCTTGGTACTCCTTTTTGATGCCTAATTTTCTTTTATTTATCTATTTTTACTTCAAATCTTTTTGGCTTTCGACGATGAATAAGTGAATTTTTTTTTTCATTTTTATTACTTATATATTTGGAGTTAATTTTTCCTTCTTGAGTTTAATGTGAATTCTAAACTTGTAGTATTTTGATTCTATAAGAATGTAGTTATTTGGATTTTAAATTTTTTTTTTATTTTTTATTTTTTTTAATGTTAAACTATCAAGTTTTTGCCCATTTCTTATATTGCATGTGAGATTTTTCTGCACTAGTAAGCGTGCGCGCATGAATGCACTTATGTAAGGCGGCAATTCCTGAAAAAGTACTTATGATGTACTTGAACTTTTTTTTTTCGTATTTTATGCATATGTAGGAGGCAGGCATAGTTAATCTTTGAATTCTCGACTGTAAATAAATCGGATTCATGATATTGAGATAGTCTTTTGAGTTGTATATTAGTGGGGTGCAAAGGATTTTTGTTAATTTAATGCCTTTACGCGGATCAGGCTTTGGAAATGTTGGAACGAAGATTACTAGAATGAACCAGAAGGAGGTTTTTAAAATGAAGCAGAAGCAACCACCTGTTCCACTTGGAACTCTGATTTGCCGTGAGCTGAGGAATGAGAAGGTGACCAAGCCCAATGTAAAATTTGGGCAGGCTGCTCTGGCTAAGAAAGGGGAGGACTTATTTTTCATCAAATCTGATTGCCAAAGGGTTCCTGGCAATCCATCAACATCATTTTCGGTTTTTGCGGTGGGTTAAAGTCTTATGAATTTTGGTTTATTATTGATACCTTGATTTTTAGTGGATATCCTATATATTGTCTCGTATATTGAGTCTGGTCTTTCGATTTATTTTATTTTATTTTTTGGTAGATTTTCGATGGCCATAATGGTACATCCGCTGCTATCTTTGCAAAAGAGAATTTATTGAACAACGTTTTGAGTGCAATTCCTCAAGGGCTTGGTAGGGAACCATGGCTTCAAGCCCTGCCTCGGGCATTGGTTGCTGGGTTTGTGAAAACTGATATAGAGTTTCAGCAAAGAGGCAAGCATAAAATTTCCTTCTTAGAAGCTTCTTTCTTTTCTTTTTTATTTTTTATGTGCGCTTTACTAACCATTTGACCTGTCTTACATAATCTTATTTCGTCTCTTTGCTATAAATGACAGGTGAGACTTCTGGAACAACAGTTACATTTGTTGTGATTGATGATTGGACTGTGACTGTTGCATCCGTAGGAGATTCTCGGTGCATATTGGACGCGCAGGGGGGTATTGTTTCACTCTTGACGGTTGACCATCGTCTAGAAGAGAACGCAGAAGAACGAGAGCGTGTAACTGCAAGTGGTGGTGAAGTAGGGAGGCTCAATGTTTATGGGAGCAATGGTGTAAGATCAATATCTTTTCTTTCCTTTTCCCTTTTAACTTGCTGTGGATACTTGTCACTTTGAGACATAACAGCTAAACATTTTTTGTATGGTTGGTAGGTTGGGCCACTACGTTGCTGGCCTGGTGGGCTGTGCCTTTCGAGGTCAATTGGTGACACAGATGTTGGGGAGTTCATTGTCCCAGTACCTCATGTTAAGCAAGTGAAGGTTAATAATCTATTAGCCTAAAAGAAGATTAACATTGCAAATTGTCATTACAATTTTTTAAGTTCTTAGCTTGTTGTTTGGTGTTAGCTTTCAAATGCTGGGGGAAGACTTATAATTGCTTCTGACGGTATATGGGATGCTTTATCATCTGATATGGCTGCCCAAACTTGTCGAGGTTTACCTGCAGAACTTGCTGCAAAGGTGGTTGTTAAGGTATGGATGCTATAAATATTTATATTGCAAATTTTTCTTTTATATCTTGCCCTTAGAACGTTATGGTAATTCTTTTTGTTTGCAGGAAGCACTGAGGTCACGGGGTTTGAAGGATGATACAACTTGCTTGATTGTTGATATTATTCCTCATGACCATTTAATTTTTCCCCAAACACCTAAAAAGAAACAAAATTTGCTCAACCCATTGCTTATCTTTGGAAAGCGATCTCAATGTTCTACTAAAGGAGCTAATAAATCATCTGTTGTTGGAGATGTGGAGGAATTGTTTGAAGAGGGATCTGCTATGCTTGCTGAGAGGTACGTGTATTCTCATTTTCATTCAAATGTTAGCTTCTTTTATTTGCTGTTAGGCTGAAAAATATGGAAGACTGAATTCGTTTGGGTATTCTACCAATATAATAGCGTAGTCTTAATTTACCTACAGGTTTCTATTTGTGCTTCTTTAGATGCCCCGAAACATTCATGTCTTAGCCCGTAAAGAATTTGTTTGTGTAGATTATACTTGCTGGAGCAACAATAGGGGTTACTTAAGTTGTGATATTTCTTTTTTTGTTTTTCTTTTAATGTTTTTACTTTTTACAAATAAATAATAGATATTTAATACCCTGTTTGAGTTGTTCCCACTTATGAAAGTAATACTCTAGATTAGAATGGTTACTAGCAATGCAATATTTTTCATGAACTTTCATTTTCCAACTAATTTGGTAGTAGGAAGACTTTTTATCACATGAACACTAATTGGGAGACCAATATGCCTTTTTTTTTCTTTTTTTTTCATCCTTTCATTAACTGTTGATTTCATCTGTGTGTGCTGCGGCCTCCAATCTTCTTAAGAAGTCTAATTGTTCATAGTTCAAACCATGCTGTTTTCAAGAGTGTGAGCAGCACACTAGGTGTTTATAAGTGTCTAACAGTGCTTCAGTAAGCCCAAAAAACAAAAACAAAAAAAAAAAAAAAAAAAAAAAAAAAAAAAAAAAGTAAATAAATAAAAAGAAGAAAATTCAAACATTCAAACAAGGTGATACCAATCAGATTTTTCTTTGAACCGCTGATTTGATTTTAGTTATATGCTGTTCATATTTTGATGCTGACATTGGAATATTTACTGAGCTATTAGCAATTTATGTATTTTGCTGATGATTAATCATGTATGGTAATTTTTCTTTCTGAATATCCCCTGTTCTGCTTTAATGAACGTTGAGCTTTGTTTGTCACTTAGTGCTATTTCGATATTTTGATTTAAGTTATTTGCTTTCTAAGAGCTCAAATAGAATAACTCTGTAAATTCTGTATTTTGCTAAAATATCGTGCATTGGGATTTTTCGTTCTGTATATCCTGTTTTTTGCTTCAATGAATTTACATATTTTTATTTAAGTTCCTTTATTTCAAAGAGCCTGAAGAGAATAATGCAGGGGACACCTGTTGTGTATTGTATGTTTTAAAAAGGTTTCCTTTTTCTACCCTTTTCTCGGAAAATTGATGACTATTCATATATCACCTTGATTCCAAAGAAGAGTTGGACAGAATGTATTCAGTATTCGTGTCCTAGTTAGTCTTCCGGAGGATTTGATGCTTCACCGCGCTTTGCACATTTCACAATTAGCTATTGCCATATATATCTGAGTCTACAAAAAATTCAAAAAACTTTGTATTTCAATAATTATTTGTGCATATAACTGATATTAAACTTTGTTCAATTACGTGAAAGCGTCGCACCTAGAACATTGAATGACTTGAAAAGTATGTACTGCATCACTGTACCATACTGGGACCTATTTGATGTGGTTAAATGATTCAGATTTTGTTCTGTTTCCATTTCTAGACACGAGGTGAGTTGTTTTACCAATATTAGAACCATTGCTTTTTATCTCCTTTGACATTGGATCTGAGAAGGAAAAGAATAAGAGAAGAATATTAAGAGAAGTTGAAACAGGAGAAGAGAAATTAGAAGAAATATGGAGAGCTAAGATTCTACTTCTAGCAGAAGAATCGTTCACATAAATTCAATCATTCTTTTCACCATAAACGATTAGGACTGCTACTTTACACTCTGTGAGTATTGAATACGGCGTGAAATACACGAGCAGAAGAAATGCGATTTTATTAATTTAATATCCATTGGCAATAGCCGGCTTTCCGATATTGAAAATAGGAAAAAGTAACAAAGCTCAATTAATATAAATCTAATCCCTTGTTTCTAATCTTTCTACTCATAAGATGACATGACTAAGCCAAATTTCTTGCACATTCTAAGAAAATTCAAAATTCCCTTTGTCAAGTTAAGACAATCCAAGTTTCTTGCACTTTAGGAGTATAAAATTTAGACCATTGACATTTTATACAAAAGCAGGTATATGAATTAAAGGGTTTAAGAAGTTTCGAGGAATGATCGCATGAGAACTAATCATCTGTTAGAAACAGGAGTAAGTTTTATCTCATAGAAAATGATCTCTTAATTAAAATTTCTACATTCATATGTTGCTATTCTGGCTAGTTATATTTCTTAACGTCTACTTGATCGAGTTTTTCTCATGTTTGTGGTTGATTTTACCGTCCTCCTTAGCCATCAGATCAAAAAAATTAAACTTTGAACAGCATCTTCTTATGGTTTGGCTCTGCACGCTATCCTCACTGACACCATTGTGCAGGCTGGGTAAGGATTCTCCTCTGGACTCTAATTCCGGGCTCTTCAGATGCGCTATTTGCCAAGCGGATCAATCATCAAGTGAGGGTTTATCTGTCAACTCAGGCCCAGTTTTTTCGCCTGCATCAAAGCCATGGGCAGGCCCTTTCCTCTGCGACAGTTGTCGTAGGAAGAAAGATGCCATGGAAGGAAAGAGACCAATTGGACATGCAATAACTGCCTAATCTTATAACCTAGTAAATATCCATATAGTTTCCTGCGACAGTGTGAGCATGTTTCGATTTTTATCTACAGTAATGATTAGACATGCAAGAAATGATCTGGTGAGTTGGTGTCGTTTCAGGGAGCAGTCCATTTTGTGGCGATTCGTGTTTGTGCTTCCCCATTTGATCGACCGCCAAAAACAGAGGTGCTAACTCATATTAGTGTGTGATATTTGATTGCTAGCAAAGAACTGAGAATTGTGAATGATATGTACTGCAGTTAGTTAATCTTTTTAGTTTGATTGCTATGGCTTGCAAAGATTCATGTGATTTTTTTTTTCTGGTCCATCTCTTTAAGTTCATTAGGAGATGCGTCAGCTTTTGATTTCACATTCTTTTCCCTCATTCGTTTATTTGTGGTGTTTTTTGGAATTAGTTATTACAACGGCTATATATATATATACACACACACACTAAAGACGATTTTTATCTACAGTAATGATTAGACATGCAAGAAATGATCTGGTGAGTTGGTGTCGTTTCAGGGAGCAGTCCATTTTGTGGTGATTCGTGTTTGTGCTTCCCCATTTGATCGACCGCCAAAAACAGAGGTGCTAACTCATATTAGTGTGTGATATTTGATTGCTAGCAAAGAACTGAGAATTGTGAATGATATGTACTGCAGTTAGTTAAGCTTTTTAGTTTGATTGCTATGGCTTGCAAAGATTTATGTGATTTTTTTTTTTCCTCCATCTCTTTAAGTTCATTAGGAGATGCGTCAGCTTTTGATTTCACATTCTTTTCCCTCATTCGTTTATTAGTGGTGTTTTTTTGAATTAGTTATTACAACGGCTATATATATATGTATATACACTAAAGAATTTCCTCTGAAGTGAGCACAATATATTGAATTAATTTTCGACAAAACGATGAATTTTTTTTTTTTTTTAGGATATTATGAGATGTCTTGCACTTTATTTACTATGACAAACACATTAAAAGTCAACTTGAATGCATAAATTTTAAAATGTATTTTTGACGTTTTGAGTATTTTTGGTAAAAATTCTGAACATGAATGAATCATTTAAATAAAGTTCTATTTAAATAAAATTAAAAAAAATTAAAAAAAAAGTAAAAAATGTTAAAAAAAAACAAAATTGTAAAAATTATAAAATTTAAAATTCAAAAAATAAAATTGAAAAAAATTTCAAAAATTTCAAAAATAAAATTCTGAAAAAAAAAAAGATTATAAAAAATTTTAGAAAAATAAAAATTAAAAAAAATAAAAATAGTTCTAACTAATGATTATTTACAAAAAAAATATGTAAATGAACATGGACAAAACTATTTTAAGTCCACATCATTAGTTTTTATTTTTATTTCCTATACTTTAAAATAAATTTATTATTATTTTTTTAGTGAGAAAATATTGTAAGATTCACCAATTTTAAAATATATATAATACTTGATAATATATTAACATAAAATCGTTCTATTTTTAATGAAATAATCAAATTTAATGAAATAAAATGTCATAAAACAATTTTTCAAAATTTCAAACCAAATGTATTTTCTAGGTTTTTGTTTTGAGAAATAACTTTTCAAAATGACGAACCAAAATCATTTTTAGAAATCATAAAACAAAAAATAGAAAATGAACTCAAAATTTAAAACCAAAACACAAACCAAACTGGCATTTATCTTATGATATTATACATTTTGAGTTCTTGTTTTGCATAGTTATTTGGTACTTTATATTATCTACTATTAATAGTGTAAAAACAAAATGTTGCAAAGTGAGATCATATCTATTGATGCTGCAATTAATAACTTGAAAGCACATTTTTTTATTTTTTTTAAATAAATAGAGAAACTGAATTTGAACCTAACAAAATTACCTTAAAGAAATTGTTGTCCAAACAGAACTTGAACCTACATTTTACACAAAATGTCAATGATGAGATAGCACATCCAACTGAAAAATCTTTTAGAATTGATTAATTGTTATATATAATTGATCAAGTGCTTTTTTCACCTAAGGTTTGAATAATTTCAAATTTGGGTTTTTGTTTGATTTAACAAAATTATAGGCTGCAAATGATAATTGTTTAAAGTGTTTGTGTGTGATATTGATAAGATTGAAAAACTTTTGAAGCATGACAAGAATTTTGATATCGATGGGCAGTAGTTATTTTTCTAGTATACAAATTGTGAGAAACTATTTGCAAGAAAATACAAAAAAGGCAATTGAAGTGTTAAGCTATATAAAATGATGGATTGTTATTTTCAAATGTGTCAATTGCTTATAAAATATTAGATTATACTATATTGTTGTTGCATCTATCAAGAGGAGTTTTTCAAAAATGAAGTTGACAATATCCAACATCGATCAACAATGTCACAAGAATTATTGAATTGATTGGTCATAATGTCTAATGAAAAAAGTTCTAAAACAGACTGAATGTAAAAGTATAATATTTGATTACCTATAAAAAAAACTTTAGAAGAGTAAACTTAGTCCCTACTTGGACTTCATTTCTTCAAAACTCATTTTCAACTACACATTCTCCCATAAAATAATATAAACAAATAAACCTAAATTTTTATAAATGAACATGGACAAAACTATTTTAAGTCCACATCATTAGTTTTTATTTTTATTTCCTATACTTTAAAATAAATTTATTATTTTTTTTTATTGAGAAAATATTGTAAGATTCACCAATTTTAAAATATATATAATACTTGATAATATATTAACATAAAATCGTTCTATTTTTAATGAATAATCAAATTTAATGAAATAAAATGTCATAAAACAATCTTTCAAAATTTCAAACCAAATGTATTTTCTAGGTTTTTGTTTTGAGAAATAACTTTTCAAAATGACACAAGCCGGGTCGTGGCTTTTCCAATTCCCGACCAAGCAGTGGGCAGCTCAAGCCAATGAGCCGAATTGGCGTCTCTAAATAAACAGCACAGGTGCTGTCCAGCTAGGTGCATGTGTCATCCAAGTCGTATATTTTATCTGTACAAGTAGCTTGATCCTTATTATTTTTGTATAATAAAAGAATTATACAAACCAAACTGGCATTTATCTTATGATATTATACATTTTGAGTTCTTGTTTTGCATAGTTATTTGGTACTTTATATTATCTATTATTAATAGTGTAAAAACAAAATGTTGCAAAGTGAGATCATATCTATTGATGCTGCTATTAATCACTTGAAAGCACATATTTTATTTTATTTTAACATGTAGAGAAACTGAATTTGAACCTAACAAAATTACCTTAAAGAAATTGTTGTCCAAACAGAAGTTGAACCTACATTTTACACAGTGTCGATGATGAGATAGCACATCCAACTGAAAAATCTTTTAGAGTTGATTAATTCTTATATATAATTGATCAAGTGTGCTTTTTTCACCTAAGGTTTGAATAATTTCAAATTTGGGTTTTTGTTTGATTTAACAAAATTATAGGCTGCAAATGATAATTGTTTAAAGTATTTGTGTGTGATAAGATTGAAAAACTTTTGAAGCATGACAAGAATTTTGATATCGATGGGCAGTAGTTCTTTTTCTAGTATACAAATTGTGAGAAACTATTTGCAAGAAAATACAAAAAAGGCAATTGAAGTGTTAAGCTATATAAAATGATGGATTGTTATCTTCAAATGTCTGAATTGCTTATAAAATATTAGATTATACTATATTATTGTTGCATCTATCAAGAGGAGTTTTTCAAAAATGAAGTTGACAATATCCAACATTGATCAACAATGTCACAAGAATTATTGAATCGATTGATCATAATGTCTAATGAAAAAAGTTCTAAAACAGACTGACTGTAAAAGTATAATATTTGATTACCTATAATAAAAAACTTTAGAAGAGTAAACTTAGTCCCTACTTGGACTCCATTTCTTCAAAACTCATTTTCAACTACACATTTTCCCATAAAATAATATAAACAAATAAACCTAAATTTTTATTTTTATTTTTAAACCACCTATTCTCCATACATC